CCAAGTGCTGGAGAGAATAGGAACCACAATAACTCCAGACCTTGGCGGCTGTCAGTATTAAAAGTCTTAGAAAGTCGTTTCTCATTGAGAATTCTATCAAATCTCATGCCGATTTTAAAACTTATTCCATATTTCTTTCTTCCAGTATTGATTAGCAGTTATAAATTATATGTATACATACATACAAACATTATTTATACTCAAAATAAGAAACCAAATATATTACTTCTTAGTTAAACGTCTTTTTTAAAATTATTATTACTATTTTTTAGTTGTCAATGGACCTTTATTTTATTTATTTATATGTGGTGCTGAAGATGGAACCCGGTGCCTCACACATGCTAGGCAAGTGCTCTACCACTGAGCCACAACCCTAGCCCCTAAACTGTTTATTTTTATTTTCATGTTATTGCAGTATTGGGGATTGAACTTGGACATTCTATCACTGAGTTACATCCCCAGCCCTTTCTATTTTTAATTTTGAGACAAGGTCTCACTAAACTGCTGAGGCTAGCATCCTCAAATTTGTAATCCTCCTGCTTCAGCCTCTGAGTTGCTGGGATTATAGGTGTGTGCCACCATGCTGGTTTATACCAGCATGATATTTAGTATGATAAACTTTGAAATTTTTGAAAAAGAAATATATTAAGAAACATAGTGAGGAGTCCTTTGGAGAGACAAAGCTAGGAACTAAGAAGACTGGGAGATGCATTTTAGCATCCCTCACCCACAACTTTCAGGTGCAGACTTATCTTTGTTATCAGATCTGGTGTGTTATTCAGATTTCTGTTATGGTAACAAAATACCTGAGGCAATAGGTTTATAGAGAGGAAAGGTTTATTTTGGCTTATAGTTTTGGAAGTTTCAATCCATGATTGATTAGTGTTGCTTTGGGCCTGTGATAGGATATCCCGGCCAGAGTATAGAGCAGAGCAAAGCCATTCAATTCACAGCAGGGACTTGAAAGAGAACAAGAGAAAGGGGATGGACTCACAGAATCCCCTTCAAGGGTATGCCCCCAATTACATAAACCTCCCACTATCCCTTACTTCTTAAAGTTTCCCCTACCTTCCAGTAGTGCCACCCTGGGAAACAAGCCTTTAGCACATGGGTTTTGGGGACACATTTAAGATACAAATGATTGCACCTGGATGAATAACTCGTTTCACTGAAGAAGTCTCTGACCCTGCTGCCAAGTGGCCAATCTTACCAACGTGAAAGAAAGGCTCGATACCAGAACCAGGGAAACTGAGCCAACAGGCACAGCCCACAGCAGAATGACTGTGGGTGGCTGGAGCAGCCGTGTCTGTGAGGGTCCTTTGCTTGCAACAAGCCAAGGAGAATATTCTGGATTATGAGGCTTTCTTTCAGATCAACCATATCTTTATCTCTGGTTTGGAGATGTACGGATCTGCTGACCGCAAAGAAAAGAGGACATCCATCTCCAGCCTGTGAAACACAGACACAGTGGCCACGGCTGGGGAGACACAGTGTGAGCCTTTTGGCTGGTGGGGTGTTGAGTGGTCATTAGCTGAACTGAAATGTGGCCAGTTCCACTTTTACAAATATTCACCACATTTCTTTTCCCTATCCTTTTGTCCCCTTGCTCCATTTTTTTTTTTATTTGACAGAGGATAATTAAGTAGAAGAGAAAGACTGGGATTGAATTCCTTGGAAATATTCTTAGGTCTTTAAAGCAACCTCTGCACTGTCCAATTCCATAAGTACTAGCCACATGCAATTATTCAAATTTGAATTAATAAAAATTACAGAAAATTAAGCACTCAGATCCTAAATCACACTAACCATATTTTTAAAGGAAATGATGTTAATAATTTTTTTCTGTATGTATATTCAATTACAATCGTTTGTAAAATCCATGTTTTTGGTACTAGGGATTGAACCCCTTGTGCATGGTAGGCAAGTGCTCTACCATGAGCTACATCCCAAGCTAGACTAATTGTATTTTGAGTGCTCAATAGCCACATGTATTATCAGCTAGTTATTGTAAAGGACAGATATAGAACACTGTTCTCATGGCAGGATGTTCTAAATTCAATTCTAGGATTTGAGTCCCTTACAAACATTATATAGCTACTTTATTTCTCTTAGTATTCCTGCCTTTTTAAACTAATTTTTGTTTGTCAATAAAATGAAGCTAACAAATTCTTCTTCTAAGAACTGCTGAGAGTTAAATGAGATATTAACTATATAAAGCATATATCCCAGTGCTTGGCATATTATTGTGTTTAATTTGGACACATCATCTGGTTGCAACCCTCGAGAATGAATTTATTCAGACCTGAGTGAAAAAAAAATTGTATTTTATTAAAAGTACCAATAGCCAGGTTTTTGGTTATATCTTAGTGGTAGAGCATTTGCCTAGCACGAGGGAGGCCCTGGGTTAGAGACTCAGCACTGGGGGTGGGGTGGGGGGGAGAAGTACCTATACACTGCAAAGCTTTTTGTAACAACCTCCTTAGGAGTCGAACTGTTTCTACAGAAACAAGAAATTCATCATTGCTGATGGAAGCCTTTCTCAGAGTGGTTAAGAAGAGTAAGGCTTCCTTCCCGAGATGCTTTGTGTCTTAAGAGGAAAGAGAAGGAAATGAGAATCCCCTAAGAGTGGTAGCATTTCTAGCCCTGAAATGCATCCTTTTCCTCTCTCAAAAAAAAAAAAAAAAAAAAAAAAATCCCATGAGATGAAAAATCTCTGCAAGGTATTTAGGCCATAGGTGTCAACAGAGCCTTAGGTCCAGAGAGGCAAGCTGGCTGCTTTCATGGGAACTGTGTACACACACCAGAGGTAATTACTTTGGGTTACAGCCGCTAACATGATTCTGCAAACTCCCTGCCTGCAAGAGACTGCAACGCCTCAAGAATGGGCCCCAAATTATTGCATCTGTGCACTGCACAGACCTACCTCAGCTTCTCCTGCCAGAGGCTCTTTGAGGTCTTTCGTAATTTGCATTCCTTGGGCAAATGGAATTTAAATTCCTTAGGCAAATTTCATCCTGATGGAACACAAAAATGACATGCAAGCCATGATCTCATTGTTTAGGATTTCTACTTTATAATCATTGATGTGTGCCTCAACAGGCAGGTGAGGTAAAGCATTTTGGCTCATTTTTATTTTACTTTCATGAATGCATCTTTCTATTTGAAGAGCCCTTAAGCATCGTCACGGATATCTCAGTAGCATTTGATGATATTCTTTTATGATGGAAGGGCAGGAGGAGGTATCGCAGAGTTAGAGGACCAGAATTCTGGTTCTGGGCTGCAAATGAAGAAGCCAATAAGAGAAGGGAAAGACATTCACCTCATCATCTTTATCTTGACCTATTTGATTTCTCCTAAATCGTCTTCGTAATTGGGTGACAATAACTTTATTTTGGGGGGGACTCTAATGTGGTCATTTTGTTCTAGACCTTCATTCTCCTAGTTCTTCCTAATTCGGATGCGAATGCCATGGTGGATTGGCTCTTGCTAAGAAAAATGCCTCCCAGTTAAGGAAGGATTAGCAAATGGCAGGTGGTTTGAGGTAGTAGGCTGAGCTGGAATCAGAGTTCTAGTTCTTCCAGGTCACGGTACTTGAATTTGTCACTATCTCTGTGAGCCACATTTTGCCCATAGATCAATGAGAACACCCATGCTTCATGGGGTGCATGTGAGGCTCAAGAAAGTGTGTAAAAAGTTGACAAAGGTAGTATGAAGACACATGAATGTCATGAAATCTCACGCAGCCCTACTTCTACACACCCCTAACTAGTGACGTGGGAAAGCAGCAATCATAGATCATTGGCTTCCTCAAATTCCACTTGTCTCCTCAGCCTTAGAACAAAACTAAACAAAACAACGTATTAAAGAACCCTAGTTATTTCCAACTCATTCCATCTACAAATTGAGAGAAAGGACCTTTTGATTGTAACAATGACCTTGAGCTTTGTCAGGACCTTTAGAGCTCACCCTCCTGAGCACCTAAGAACCTGTCCCACTGCTTGCTATTTGGCATTATCATTTCTATTTTAGCGTCTGAGGGTGGATTTTAATTGTGCAAGGGCAGGGTGATGCCAGTCTTGCTCATGATTGTCTGCAGCGCTGGGTGTAGTGTATGTAGTTGGCGCCAAGCAAATGACTAAATGAGTGAGGTGGATGGTGTGACAAAAGCAATCTAGATCCACATAGGGAGCCTGTGAGAGAATCCAGAATCTCCTCCATCCTGGTAGCCTTGCGTGAGCAATGTCTTAGTAACTTCAAGAGTTTCAGGACTTTTCAAACAAGAAAAGTAGGAGGTATTCTGGCTAAAGACATGTTTATTTTTAAGCAGCTCTGAAGAAACCAGGACTGGAGTCAGAGTTTAAAAAACAAACAAAACACCTTGGTGTGTGTTTAAACTGGGGTTGTTTCTCCCATTCTACTCCTGGCATAATACTATCAAAATAAGACTTCTCTTTTTTCTTTTTTGTACCAAGGATTAAAACCAGAGGCTCTTTACCTCTAAATCACATCCCCACCCCTTTTTTTTATTTTGAGATAGGGTCTTGCTAAATTTCTTAGGGCCTCACTAAGTTGCTGAGGCTGGCTTTGAACTTGCAATCCTCCTGCCTCAGCCTCCCAAGCCACTGGGATTACAGGCGTGCATCACCATGCCCAGCCAAAATAATACTTCTAAGATGGACATCATATTGCTTTAGATTGGTTAAAATTCCAGAACAAAGGATTGGGGGTATAGCTCAGTGTAGACAACTTTCCTGGAATATTCAAGGCCCTGAGTTTAATTCCTAACACTGGGGGAAAAAAGAAAAGAAAAAAAAAATCCATTACAAAGAACTCTTTAATTTAGAATTAGTTTGCATAGTATCTCTGTTGGTTTCCTTAGTTTAAATTGTAGGATCCTGCAGGTGGAACAATTTCTTTACAATCTCAAAGTGGCAGTGATGAGCTGCAGTGAGGGAACTGTGATCTTTCCCCTTTGAAACCACAGAAGAAAATTCAACCAATTCACTTTAGCAAATAATAAATTTATTAGGTGCCTCCAAGTACAAAAAACACTGAAAAGCTGCTGTAGAGGGTTAGGAGGTTGTGCAGGAGACGCGCCTGCCCTTGAAGGGCTTACAGTCTAGGCAGTTAGCCACATGAATCAGTTGTGGAGATAGGTGTTAGGCCAGCTAAGTGGGAGTTCTTGAAAATATCCACATCCTTTCGAAATATCCCAAGGACTCCTTTCCATGGGAAGCTCAACAGTGGGGAAGAAGAAACCTTTTGTGGGACAAATTAGTGTAGTGACCTTGACTTTGCTTATGAGCATCTTTCCATTGCTGTTGCTTATTCTCGTAACTTTCTGGGCATCATTTCCTAACTGGACCTTTGTTTGGAGTCACCCTGCTTCCTGAACCTTCTCCAGAGTTTCCTGTTTGTGATTGAGTGTGGCTCAGTTGCAGTTTGGCCTTGGAATGAATTTACAGTCTGATTTTTTTCCTTCAGCCAATCTGTCTTTTAATTTTGGTCAAAGTTGGGTTGCTATGCTTTGCAATCTGTGGTTTGAAGGATGGGAGTAAGATGCAAAAATAAAGTAAAGCAGGCCAGACTTTTCCCTTACTTTAAACATTTAATAGTGCACTTACTGATTATATTCTGTACAGATATAGAGCAAATTATAAACTTCTTCCTTTTATTTATTTTTTTCACTTAGACTGTATTCATGTAAAGTGTATTTACATTAAGGGGGAAAAAGCCTTGAGGTACAAAACCCAAAAGAATATCTGAGGTATAAATACAAGTATATTTTAAATAATAATCTTTGTCATGCTTTACCTATGTCTGAAAGCACAGTGGACAGACATGTGTACATATTTCTTAATAGAATGGTATATACAACATACAATCTTACAAATCTGGAAGCCATACAATTATATCTTTACGAGGAACACTGATATCCAAAATACTCAAATTTTAAAATTCTAATCTGACCCACCCCCCAACTCTTCAAAGAACCTTTGAAATAGTAACACTGACAATGGTAACTAAGTTATAACAAAATAAAAATCCTTCTTACAACTCTCATTCATACATTATTCACTTTTGATCCATACAAAATAAATTCACTAATACTGTCTCTAGAGTCAATCTTTACCATTACAGTAAAACCTGTATAAAGACCACCCTTCCAGAAAACTGTGCTGTATTCTTTCACTGTGACTACTACTTCCCCTTAGGACTAAAATATATTTTGAGGGCATCATAAAAGAAAAGAAAAAGAAATATAGGAAAAACAAACAAAACAAAAGCCAAGAAACCAGAAAAACCTATTTGCTGATAAGAACAAAACCAATTAATAAAAATGTGCAGCTTTCAGGAATGCTGTTAACAACCACCAAAAAAGGAAAAAAGAAAAAAAAAAAAAGGCTTTTGTGCCTGGGTTAAACTTACAGGAATTTCCTTGGGACGGTTTCCCATGTTCTCATGCATAGTGTCTCAAAGAGTCTGTGCTATACACATGAAACTGCAAAGAACTGTAACAGGTTAAAAAAAAAAAAAAAGTTTTGATGCTCGATTTAGGAGTAAATGGAGTGTTTAGTTTTTACCTCTCTTAAAAAGATAAAAACAAACAAAACCCCCCTGTGCCTTGGAGCCAATAAGGTCAGGGGAAGGGGATTATTGTTCCTGAAGTCATCTTTATTGGTTAAAACTACATCCCTGTTTGCAATCAGGTCTAAAAACAAACTGCATTTGCAATGAGTGTTACAGTGAACCTGCAATGACTTCTAAAGTAAAGAAGAAGTGGTGGATAAGGAATATGCTTACCAACCTGGAAAAGAAAAAATAGACAAGTGTTTGTTGGGTCTCCTTTCTGGATGGATCCATGGGTAGTCAACTATTCCAGGTTAAACTGAACCTGCTGCATCGACATCCTTCCTGGAGGCATCTCAGTGTGCCAGACACTGCATTCCAACGTAGACATCTATGCCACTCAACCAGTGACAAACACACATTCACACTCCTCTGTGCAAACCTTTCTTTGCTCATCTCAGTGAGAAAACATGTCCACAAGTACCAACTATTCCAGTGGATACACCAGTCCCTCGACATACTGCAAATCAATGACATAGGTAACGTACACCGATATCACAGAGAATGAAATATCTTCATTGTCTTCCATAATGTATTTAAAGAGTTTTGCTTCTCAGAAGCAATTTGAATTAGAATACAAGAACTTTTTTTTTTCTTTTTTTATATGCACAGTCTTATATATTCCAGTCAAGGTCTCCAGAATAGACCTTAAACAAACAGGAAGCAGCTTTAAAAATGTATCAAATTGCTACAGTCACTTTCTATACTCTGACTTGTATTTGCTTCAGGATCAGACACACACTGATTCTTCCAAGGACTGGCAAGGTTCTGGAAACAATCACGCAGGTGGTGGACACAGTTGCTATGCTTCAGTAATCACCTAGATTTGGTATCCTTGGTTTCAGTGCTCTGATTAATGAAGGAGTCTCGAATCTTTACCACTTCAGCTGCACACAAATGTCCAAAAGATTTTGTGTACCATTCTGGCATGTGACCCCTAGTAAAGAAAGGAAAAGCCCATGATTTAGTTGGAAAACACTGAAATAAGATGAAAGCAATCCCAAATACACATTCATTTCTTTCTTTTCCTTTTTTCCTCTCCCTTATGCTAGTGCTGGAGATGGAACCCAAGGTCTTACACAGACTAGGCAAGTACTCTGTACCACTTAGCAACACCCCTAGTACCACTTCCATTTCTTGATGGACCAAATGTGTAGGTAAAGATTACTTATTTGCTGGGCGCAGTGGCACACGCCTGTAATCCCAGCAGCTAAGGAGGTGAGGCAGGAGGATCACAAGTTCAAAGCCAGCCTCAGCAATGGTGAGGTGCTAAGCAACCCTGTCTCTAAATAAAAATACAAAATAGGGCTGGGGATATGGCTCTGTGTTTGAGTGAGGCCGAGTTCAATTCCCAGTATCCAAAAAAAAAAAAATCCCAAAACCATTTTTTAATCCCCAGGCAATTTCCTGGGATATTCATTGCACATTTGGAACCAAAGTTTTCTAAGGAACAAAACATAGAACATAGATATTGAGTGAAACTGCTTAAGAAATGCTTCGGCTTACATCATGGAAAGAGATACAGATATCTGAAGAACTAGTGAGATGTAAATATTTCAAAGGAGAATTTAGTTAACATGAGAGATATTTTAGAGTTTTCAGAACTTCATTTGTTTGGTCTGTTCTTTTCTATCTCACTCATTTTCTATACAGCCTAAACTCATTTTTTTTTGGGGGGGGGTGGTGGTGCTGGGGATTGAACCCAGGGCCTTGTGCATATGAGGCAAGTACTCTACTGACTGAGCTATATCTCCAGCTCTCTCTCATTTTATGATATGATTACACATTCATTTTTGGCACAGAGTGTAGGCCTAATCAATTACTAAAAATGCTCTTCATACTATTCAAACGCCTTTGAATATAAAATGAGAAATGTCTGCTTGATGGTTGAAACATAAAATACATAATTTCCTGTGGGCATTAAATTCACTGTAGAACCACCAAACTTGTGTTGCTTTAGGGCCACATTTTCTAAGGAATCCATATTAGGAAGTGGAGGTACCCAATGACCAGCAAACACCAATGTGTTACTTCATGATGTCACCAAGATACCACAGTGTGGTCATTTAATTCATTTTTTCGCATCAGACAACAAGTCTAATTCTTCCTCAGGCCCTCACTGTGTCCAAAAAGTCAGAGTCAGACATACCTTAAATCAGCTCGGCACATGTAAGTGAGTTTGGATTTTCCTGACCCGCAGGGTTCAATTAAATATCTGGACAGAAGCACGTTGACCCTCACGCCTGCCACCGGGGCTCGGTCGTGATCCACAGAGGTGAGTAGTAGGGCACAAGCTCCTTTGGGTAAATTTGTCCTCCAGGTTCTGTGGAGACAAAACCAGAGGGAGTGAGAAAGGGATTTCCTGGAAGCCACACTGAAAATGTGGCATCACCCAGAAAGGAGGAGGGGCCAGGCTCAGTGCCATGTATGACCCACGCCTGGGTTCCTGGCATCCTCTAAACTATTGGACACAGACTCTGGGATGAGTAACTCTGTACAGCACGACGTCCACTGAGAATATATAAGCTCAGACTTGGAAAAGATGGGCCAATGGGAAGTGGAGCTAAAAGCCATTTTTTCCATTTTACAAAAAGCCTTCAAATGTGGACATCCAAATGAGCATCGCTTCTGTTTGAAAAGTTCTGGACAAATGATGTGACATTTCCTCAGAGATTTTTCGAATTCTTCTTTCAGCAATGTCTCCAGAGAATTTATGAATTACACATAAATCAGCCTTAACCACATCTCACTTGGGACTCGAATGTTATTTCCTGGCTTATTCCTTCTCTAGCTGTTTCTAACCAGAAAAATCTACCCTAAAAGGGGCAAAAATCTGTTGCTATGAAGAAGCATATTCATCTGAATATGCCTTTCTGATGAATACACAGCTGGACTAGATGTAGACAGATTTCTGTATTTGGAAGTCTCGCCATTTTTCTGAGGCCTGTGGTTCATTTTGAACCGTGTGACTTTCTTGTAGGACTCTACAACACATAGGCTTGGTTTTGATATTTAGCTGCCTATGCCACAGCGATCTGTTTGGCAGATCTCACCTCAACACCACGTAGTCCCGAGCCGGGTGGGGTGCCATACTGTTTTGGACATACTGGTAGATTTCAGTCTGGCTGTCCAGGATTTCGATTACTTTTGAATCCAGCAAGTCGACATCCCAGAGGTGCTGCTCTTTCAGTAGGCGCTTTAAGACCTCCTCAGGCAGAGCAGGGACTTCGATGGTTGATCTCCAAAGCCTCAGAGGGGGTCCTTCACTCACCTGAAAAGAGGATGCGTATTTCAGAGCTAAGAGAGCCATACACAGCTTGGCTGAGAAAGCAAATTGTGAATGGAGGGTCCGGTCTTGTGTTCAGAGGCTAATAAATCTATGACAGTAATAGGTTGCTGTCTTTGAGTATATTCAGGATCAGGCCTGAAAGCAAACGAAATAGCTGGTGTCGACTCTGGTCTAAATCATGATGTTTATTTTTCTGGTACCTGTATTAGGGTATATGTAAGATCAACCATCATCATACCCCAAAGCCTGTATAGCTATATGGATTACTCTCTTGTTTATTTATACCGAAGGTGGTAGAGATAGTGTTAGCAAATACCACTATGGACCTATCATACCACATAGGATGCCCAAAGTATAGTAACTGAGAACAGACGACGGTACATGGAGATGCTGACTGGATTATGGGAAAATCTAAATATTCTAAAACATTTCTTTAAAACCTAGCACCAGTAATAAAACACTCCAGGAAACTTTAGTGTGATTCCATGGAACCTAAAGGATTTATTTCATTAGAAATGGACTGAAATCCTCTCTAGTGTTCATTAGTCCTTGTGTGATGGTCTCCTCATCAGCTCAGGGAGTCTGGGCTACAGATTGTCATGGATTACCGCTGGCCCAAGAATCTTATCTCTCATGAACCCAAGTCCTGACTGCAGGATTTCAGAGCAGCCAAGAGGGAGAAGCCTACCTTCTTGTAGGACAGCTCGGCCTGCTCAGAAGTCGAGTAGCTGACCCAGCCTTTAAACTTCTCTTTGACCTCCTTATACAGGCCATCCACACAGTCCTGGAGGAAGTGTTTGTAGTCGGCCGATTCATCGTTACTCAGATGTCCCAGTGCCTCCAGTGTGAGGGGCTTCAGCTCTTGTTCGGTATAGGAATTACGACACCGGCTCATTTCCTCAGGAACCTGGGAAGGACACGAGAGACACAAGGTCGAGACTCCACCAGGGCTCCTCCTCAGCACCCATCAGTGGGAGCACACGGGAGAATCAACAGCTGGGGTCCTCAAGGCAGTGTAGGCAGCCCTGTCCCCATTTCCAACAGAAGGCAGGGAGTCCCTCTGACTTTATGTGATGTCACAAGGATACAGACAGATCACCTTGACAGATATGTCTAAAACACGTATTCCTGTGTAAGATATACGTGTTTTAGACATATCTGTGAAGGTGTACTAAAATTGGGCTTAACTGAGCCACTGAGCAGGTAGGTGGCTCAGATACAGAATTTTAGTTTCAGATAATTGGCTGCTTTTGTTTTTTAAGTAAGGGGGTATGGAGGTAGGCCATTTCATGAAACATAATTAACTCTAATGAGTATATACATAAATATAAAATTAAGACATTATCAGGTCACACACACACACACACACACACACACACACACACTATTCTCCAGCTGTGGAAAAGGATGTTTTCCTAAGACATGAACAAAATATCAAGCCAACCATTTGCCAAACACTTTTTGTCCCCATTTGCGTCATCCTAACACAGGAGCCAACCTTCCCAACTCCTTACCTGGAAAAGCTTCTTGCACTCAGCAATCATATGGGCCAGCCCTTGAGTGGCTGCTAGGTTTTCATTCAGATCTTTCTGATCTGGTTTGCCCAAACTCTGTTTTCTTTGCATTACCCTGGATAAAAGAAATAAAGGGAGGGAAATGAGTCCAATATTTATATATTGGTAATCAATGTATTATTCATGGAAACTCAAAGGAGGAAAAAAAAAAAAACATTTTCCTGGAACCTATTTATCACGAAGTGGTTCAATAGAGCTTTTACTTTGTTTACCAGAATTTCTCAGAGTTTTATCAACAACACACGCTAGAGATATGTTTTTCATGAAATCCAGGATATTTAAAGCCACTTTGTTAAATAGGATTCTGTCTTAAGAGGAACAGCTGCTAAGGGCTGTGGTCCTGCTGGGGAGTTAGCCAGCTTCCGGAGGGTGTGGGGTGGGGGCCCTGGGAGCTGGGGTAAATGGTTTCAGTATTCTTACCATTTAAATAAACAGGATACCCTCCACAGGTGAGGGATAAACCTATTCTTTCCCAGAGGTGTTGTCTTTCTCTTATCTGATCTCTCTCTTCTACTCACCTCTAGTTCTTTATCCCATTAAAGTTGGAATGCCCCAGCAAACTTTCGGAACTAGTTAAAAAGGATATTTAAGCATTGTATGGCTTTTAGGAACAAAGCTAACTTCCACTAGAACAGCTAGGCCCCAGGTCTCCAGCTAGGAAATAACTCTTCAGGTTCCTTTAGAAAAGGATCTGCAGGATACATTTGGTATGGGGGTGGGGGGAGTTTGCAGTAAGTCCTGTTAGTCACTCTCTCAGACCCTCCAATAAGAAGGTATTCATATGAAAATGCAGAGGCTAGGACTGGCTCTGCTATTTCTTCCTGTCAGGCGCGGTCAAGCTACTTACTGAACTAAGCTTTCTCTAAGCCTTACTTTCCTCCTGTGAAAAAGATATTTGCAGAATCTTTACCTCCTGTGATTGTTATGAGGAATAAATGAGCCGATCAATGGGAATAGAAGGGTCCTGTGCCCAGTACAGAATAAGCACCTAGCCTTTATTATTTTTCAGATTCCTTGACTTTTTCTCCACTTTTCATCTTGTGTAAACGCATTCTATGCAGAAATTTTACAAACGACTGGCTTAGGCCAAATCCTGAGTAGAAGCACCTTTGAAGCTCGACATTAAGACCAGGCTGTTTCAACTTTGGGCAGAGGCTGGAAGTTTGGCTTGCTTGACCACGCAGGGAAAAGGCAGCAGGAATCATCCACCCAGTTTTTTAAGACTTGTAAATCGGTATTGTTCTTTGTTGGCACAAATAGGATGATGACACTATTATTAGACTTGCCCCCCATTACTGGCTGGGGCAAGGCAAGACTCAAAACCTAGTTGTTACTAGGCTGTCTATAAAAGTCATACTTTCTAGAAAGTTCTGAGAGGAAAAAAGGCAGAAGTACAGGGGAACCTTGTGGCTGTAAATGAAGGAAGTCTCACTCATTTTGTTTGGTTCAGGTAAGAAGCCAACAGGAGTACAGTGGCAGCCCTATAAGGAAAGGCCAGCTGCCTCCGTGGAAGGACAGAGCCCCCGTGTGCACCTCTCATCTGACCTGTACCTTGGAGAAGAATTCTCTCTCTTCAGGGTGTTGAGGTGGAAGAGAGAAGGCGCTAAGCACACAGCCAGATTGGTCGGAGTCATCTGGTTTTCTTTTACAGCCGCTGTGACATCACTCAAGAAGTAAAGAAGCGTCTGGAGAACCTCCCGGTTCTCATCAGGCAGGAGCATAATGGCAGCCTTGATAGCCTGGAGGCGCTGGTCTTTGGGTACGTCTGCGAGGTACAAGAATTTTCCTCAAGCTCAGTGATTTTCCATGTATGTGGCAAGGAAATGTCCCAAAGCAAACATCAGCATCAAATACTGAACAAGCACTTGCAGAAAGTGCACTACAGGTTAATAGGGAAGAAATTATGGACTGCTACCAGTCACCAGCGTCACGACCCTCAGGTATTTCCTGCCTTGTGGAGGAGTTAAAAAATTTTAAACACTCATGATACCAATAATACTCCTAAATCTACCTCAGACTTCAGCTCCGGATAATGCTCTTTTAGTTTAGAGAACAAAATTTTTTTTTTCCTGAATACTTTCTAATAATCCCTAATTTACTATCTCAATTACTGAGATCATTATACACTTAAACATAAGTTTCAATGAAAAGTCTTATCTAAGCCTTGATTATAAAAGATTGAGAATCTCTGGGGACTGCTATAATTTTAAGTGATTTGCTCATTCTCAAAATGGGGAAAATTGGGGGCTGGGGATGTGGCTCAAGCGGTAGCGCGCTCGCCTGGCATGCGTGCAGCCAGGGTTCGATCCTCAGCACCACATACAAACAAAGATGTTGTGTCCGCCGAAAACTAAAAAATAAAATATTAAAAAATTTAAAAAAAAATGGGGAAAATTGTTAAAATAGTCAGTCGACTTAAACAATAGATAGATTTAACCAGTAATTTTTTCCTTGAGTTTTAGAAACCATACCGAGAAGCTATTATAGAAATGCACACGATTATTCAAATAATTAAAAATGCAAATGAATCCATAAAATAATCTGCATGTAGAAAATGCTGAACTCAACTTTTAGGTCTTCTTTTTTAGACAGACCTTTTTTAAAAGCATGTAGTGGAAAAATTAAGTCACTCAAATGTAGTGGCCATAGGACAAACTTATTAAACAGCTCCATGGTTACAATACATAACAAATACCTTGGTGGGGAAAATGTGACCTGTGTTTTCATAAACTATGAAAGGATGAAACAAATAATGAAATAATCCAGAGCAGCTCCATTTCTCATAAAATGAAGTCCAATGCTCCAGTTCTAAGGACAATTTCAGCACCAAGAGAAGCTGCTTTGAAATCACACTGCTGTAATACCATCCTGAGCCAAGAAAAACACAAGGCTGTAAAAGCTATAATCCTGATCTTGATCATTAATTTCGACAACTGTTTGCTTTAAGCTTTGCTTAAAAGTGAGAAGAGCATGGGTATTGTTTTCTCAAGTATTTCTGGCAGGGATTGTGATGAATAACAGAAAAAGATTATTTATTCATTTTACAGTGTGATAAAACACAAAGACACCTGTGCAATTTTAAATACAACAGACCTGCTAGAAAGATATGAAACAATTGAAAATTTCATTAGACAAGGCCAAGAGAGAGGGAAGGGAGAGGGGCTGAGAGAGAGAGAGAGAGAGAGAGAGAGAGAGAGAGAAAGCTAGATAGATGTCTTGGTACCTGCTCTTTATCTAAGCATCTTAGATAACATTGCTCTAGAGAAAAATAAAGGGAGCTGGATCAGAATATAAAAATATATAACTGCTTCAGCAATTAGAGACTAATGAGAAGAGAAATTTATTTCTCATTAATCAATAAGTATATAGGAACTAGTTCCACAAACAAGGAGGCAAGGAAGAAACTGATGACATGTGTTTCCAAGAGGTCACACAAAGACAAGAACAAGGCCAAAGACAAGTTCAGTTGGCCCCATGTCCCTCCGTGCCAAGTAACCTCAAAGTCCAAGAACACTTACATTGGTAGATCTGTAGAAAGGTTTCCGAGAGTTTGTTTGTCATGAGTGGCTCAGGAAGATCTCGAAAATATTGCTTCAACATGTCTGCCACATCATAAGCAGACTGTCCTTCATAGTTGACACAATCCGAGGCACTCTCATTCATCTGGCGCAGAGCCTGAATCCGGGATTTGACACCTGATTTTCTGAAGAGCCCGACCTTTCGGAAGAAAAACATTCCATGTTGGGATGGAAGCAGTATCTCCATTACAAAACTAGGAGAAACGTGCGGCTGAGCCCCCAGGGCGAAGTGGGATCCACAAGTAGTGGTCCTCACCTGATCCAGACAATGGTTGCGGAGGTAGCGCATGGCCTGCTGGATGCTCTGAGGCAGGGGTTGTCCTGTACGCTGCACGTTGACCGTGAGGGGGACCCCGAACACGCTCCGGTCCTTGTAGTCTGGAACCTTGATTCTTTTCATGAACTTGGGCACAGCCCTGTTTAAAGAACATGGTGCGAAGGGGTGCGTTTACTTTTCTGTCTATACTTGTCCTCCTCTACAGATAAACCCTGTGGTCCCTAGATCTTTGCCAATATGGTGACTGTTTAAATTTGCATGAAATAAAGCAACCCATTCAGTTCCTCAGTTGTACTAGCCACATTTCAAGTGCTCACTGGACATTTGTTGGTAGTCGATACTGTTTTGTTTTATTTATTTTTTTGGTACTGGGGATTGAATCCAGAGGTGCTTAACCACTGACTGATATCCCCAGTTCCGTTTTTAAAAAAATATTTTATTTAGAGACAGGGTCTCTCTGAGTTGCTTAGGGCCTCAGTTGCTGAGGCTGGCTTTGAACTCATGATCCTCCTGCCTCAGCCTCCTGAGCTGTTGGGATTATAGGCAAGTGCCATCATGCCTGGCCCAGTAGCTGCTATTTTAGAATGTGAAAATCATTTAACTTCCTACCATTATTGACAGTTTCACTGGACAATGTTGTTGTACGTATTTTCAGAGCTGGGGTTAAAAGGCCTGGTCACATCTCTTTTGTTGGGGATTGTCCTTCCATTGTTAATCTTGAGAACCAAGGTCTATAGTCTTAAGGAAACCAATGGACTTCCTTATAAGATGGCAGTACAGGAAGAAATAGAAGCAGAAAACATGTTGATACCCTAACTAGATGCTTCTGATAAAGTTTGAAAACACGAGCTTCCACTTGTCCTGAAAAGGGTAAGAATCCCCTTTGAGTTCCTGATGAGATCCAAAGTAGTTAAGGTAAAAAGATTTAGGAAATATTGCATGAAAAAAAAGAGCAAAGACATGAAGTTGGTATAAGATATTGAGCATCAACTCCAGAGCTCAACAGTGAAAGACCTGAATTCAAAATAAATTCTCTTAATTGATGACCCCAGAGTTATATCTTGCAGTTTCTAAGGAAAGATAGAAAAGGAAGAATGGGGGTTTTGTGAGCCTCCCCCAGGTTTCCTGAAGTCCTGAAACTAGGTCCACCCCCAGCGGCACATGCATCACCAGGAAACCCATGTTGTGCATTTAAGACTGTCACGCAGGCATTTGAGCTCTACAAATGACCCCTCTGAATGAGACAAGTAAGACAAGGCCAAACAGGAAAGTAACTCTGGGCAGAATTTCTCCCTAATGCACGGATCCACAATGCCAGGCTTTTACGTTAAGGTTTTGACTTGCTGGAAAAACTGACCAGAACTTGAGAAATATTATAGACTTTGAGATTCCTGAGGGTTTGGTGGGAAGGGGATGGGCAACTCAGCAAGGGGAATCTAAAATATGCAGTTTTAAATAGCCAGCAAGGAAAATATTACTCTAAGCACACAGGAATACTGCAGAAGACCAACTGCTTCAACATTTGAGTGCTTACCAATGGCCACGACACGTTACTGTTTATAGCTCCAGGAAAGGTAAAGCTAAGGAGCAGAGCTGAGTTGGTATTTCCATACAGTTAAATATACAGTATCACGGCTAGAAGAGTGCATAATACTCGCTTTGTCGGGGGAGAAAAGCCTGGCTGGGGAATGTGCAAAGAACACATTACGCTCCCCACTGAGAATCTGAAGCATGTGGGGATAAACTGGTCAATACTTATTTATGTCATTCAGAACAAACAACTTCTGTATTTAGCAAGGCTCACATAATAATGGCCTTTGCACAGGAGGGGCTTTGATGCTGCAGCTAAATTCACTGTGCATCCAGAGGAGGGTGGAGCTGGAGGGAGCAAGACCAAGCTACCTGGCTTTGCAGATTCTCCCAAGTGACTTTGATCTGCCACAGAGGGCTCCAATGACATGGGCTGCTTCTCTGTTTTGATAACAACTGAATAATAAACACTTTGATGAGTGAAAAGACTAAGGACACTCAGCTGGCAATGCAAAATAACACTGAGATGTCAACGCAGAGGCAGTTCTGGGTTTTGCATTAAGAGTAGAAAAATCAGTGTGTACAGACTAGGTCACATCCATGATCCCTCCAATCTAACAATTTACATCTCAAGTTGGACACACCTAAGGCTAGATTTTCAAAAGTAACTACAAAGAACTCATCTAATACATTTCGTCTTTATTTATGCATTCGCCTATAGCATTTTGTAGTGCATTCTCAAAAATTTATTATTCACTGCTTGAGCATCTTTGCTGGGAAAAAAAATAACCTTAACACTTGAACACAGGTAGATCTTTCAGTGATGCTGCAAATACTCATATCAAAAATAATTTTTAGGGCTAGGGATGTAGCTCAATGGGAGATAGCATGCTGAGCATGTATGAAACCCTGGGCTTAATCCCCAGCTCATCAAAACAAACAAGATTTCTAAAAACATGCATAAATAGGATTACAAGGACAGGCAATGTACATCAAGCATTTCCAAGATGATCTCATAATATCTTACCATTTCTTTCCTTCCTTCTATAGGTATGACATAATAATGTACATGTATTTACTTATAGTGGGTTATTCCTACCACTGGAAAGGAGGCAGCAATACCACGTGATATGAGAGTAATACATTCTCACCACCATCAACTGGCAATTTGCCACTCCAAGAGCTGACAATGCAATCTGCCAGCCCTGCTGTTAATTCCTTAAAACTCTGATGCCTTCAGCTGTCTTGAATGTGATCTCGAGAATGCAGAGACCAGGCTGGCTCTGGAAGAGTGCTTGACTTGCATGCCTGAGACCTTGGGTTTGATCTCCGGCATCACAAAACAAACAAGCCAAGAACAAAATGCAGAGACTGCATGACACACTAAAGATATTAACAAAGAACAGAACTAACTACCATGTGCTTACTGTGGGGATGGCCTCAAGGAGTTGACTGAAAAACATCACTTGAAGTTACGGTTTAAGTTCTTACCAGCTAAAACCATGCTTGTTAGAAGGTGTGTACTTCTCCAGCAGGGCTGTCAACTTGAGAAGCGAGTATTTCTGCAGTAGGTTCATCTGGGCCACAGACTGGCAGTTAATCTGCAGAGATACAGAGTTTAGGCTTGGCCGATGGGAGCTCTGGAAACTGTGCCATCTCAGTCTGTGCCTGGAAAAGAATGGGGCAGGGTGAGTGAGCACAAAGGTAGATGCAGAACTGGCCAAGGCTGCTAGCTGTCCTCTTAGGAACTGAAAGGATTCAGTTTTCAGGCCATTCATTTTCTTCCCCTGTGGCAAAGCGTACAATGGTTCCTAGGTGTCCACAGGGGATTTGTTCCAGGATCCCGCTCAGATAGCTGAATCCACAGATGCTCAAGTCCCTTACAAAAGGCACAGTATTTGCATATAGATGATGCACATCCTCCTGTTTACTTTAAATCATCTCCAGATCACTTTTAATACCTAACACATAGTGAAAGCTCAGTCATTAGTTGTTATACTGTACTGTTATGGGAATAATGACAAGGTAAAAAAGTTGGTACATATTCAGTGCAGACACAAGTTTTTTTCCCTCAAATTTTTTTGATCTGCTATTAGCAGAATCTGCAGATGTGGAGATTCTGGATGGAGAAAAGGGGGAAAGGGGGATGGAGAGAAAGGGGAGAAAGGGGGCTGACTACACACAACCTAAAATTGACCACGTAACCACTTCTAAAAGCACAGTTCAGTGGTGTTAAGTCCACCCTGGGATTGTGCAGTCCACCTCCCCTTGTTTTCATCTTCCCCAAGTGAAAGTCCACACCCATTAAATAATATCCTTTCTTTCTGAATCTTGGATCTCCTGGGCTGACACTTTTCTCAGCAACTGATATGGCTACGAACATCAGTCTTTATCCGATCCCCACTCCTTAATCCGGTGGGAGGAGCAAGGCGCTTACCTATTACACCTGGTCAGGGAAGCCCCCACCCCGGAGTCCCTTCTTTCCGGGATGTCAGAGGGCTCTTCAGGCTCATTCAGGGAGTTGCCTGTGCTGTCCAGGTCACTGGGTGTGGTTCGGTCGTTGTCCACATCCAGGTGTATCTGTTTTGGAGAGGACGGGCAAGGAGAGACGGAGTCCAGGGCTGAGTCCGAGTCTCCCTCATCTGAAAACTTCTCCGACCACTGGTTGACGATCCGCTGCATCCCCTTCACGTGGTAGAGGATGTCGTCCAGCTCGGGGAAGATGTCCTCATTCTCCAGGTCGGCCAGGTCGCCTGAGCTGGAATAGAGGATGGAGCCTGGCACATTGTCGTAGATACTCAGGCGGCTGCTCATGGAGCTTGAGGAATTTCGCCTCTTAAGTTCCTTAGGGCTGTCATTGCTGTTTTCCCTCCTTAGGCTGATATGGCCAGGGCCATGGAAGCTTCCAGTCCTCCAGTTCACAGAGCTGTTATTTCCCGAAGGACAGAAGCTTCCATTGGAAAGGGCCTTGGGGAAGGTGCCAGGCTTGTGATCTTCAGGGATGTAGAATACTGTGTCCTCTGGGTAGCTCTCGCGGTTTTTAAAGTTCTGCTCCATCACGTTGTTAAATGTGGACTGATTGAAAGGATCAAAGCCCTCTAGATACATGCCCACCCGCTTGTTGCAGGCACTGAGGCTCCGTGTCCTGGTGACAGGGCTAGGTGTGCTGACAGCGCTGCTAGTTTCTGACTGGCTGCTGCTGCTGCTGGTCTGAGTGGAGTTGGATACGCTCCTCTTTCGTACCATGGGGACGTTGATGTGGTTGCCATTGAGGGCTGAGATCTCCACGCAGTTCAGCTGCTTCAGCTTCTCCTCATCCATACCCTCTTGCAGAATGGGCCCACTGATGATCAGCCCCAGCTTGGAGGGTGCCTTGTGTTTGCTGTGGTGGGAGCCCTTGAGCTTTAAGCTCTCCATCCGTTTCAGCAAGCTTCGGGTCTTAGACTTGGCATTTTTCTCATGCCCTTTCATGCTAAAACTGAAGCTGGATAGTTCCTTGGGAGAGGGAAGGCTGCAGAAAGAGTCGTCATTGCCTACAAAGTGGCTGGAGGAGCAGACACTAATGACGGAGTTAGTCCGGGGTGTCACAGCATCCCCACTCTGGGACACGTGGGTGGGGATGCTGCTGGTGCTGCTGAGGCTTCGGACAGAAGATACCTCCTGGCGCTCGCTGAGGTCCGTCAGCATACTTTCATGGCTCATGGCGTTCTTCAGGTGGGAATCATCTGGGGACCCAGAGACTGGGTCCTGTTTTGGAGAAAACACATCAAACTCTTCAAGCCGGGACCACCTCTTGCTGTCCCTCTGGAAAGTCCATTTGCCACTTATTGCACAAGGCTCATCTTCATCCGAATCCTCACTCTGCAAAGACATAATGAAGCCATTTATACACAGGGACCGTAAGGTAGCAGGGACCAGGACACATGCTATGGGCCAGGAGATTTTTCCAACGCCACCACTAATTGTTCCAAATTCCCCACTTCTTTCACATCATTTACTTTCTTTTTCTTTAAAAAGATATATTTAAAGAATGTAACAGGAGAAAGTCCGATCAAGTGTTGCCTGCTAAATAAGATTTTTTTGTTTTGGTACTAGGGATCGAACCCAGAGGCGCTTAACCACTGAGCCACATCCCCAGCCCCTTTTTATTTTGACACAGAGTCTTGCTAAATTAGTCAGGATCTTGTGAAGTTGCTGAGGCTGCTTTGAACTTGTGATCCTCCTGTCTCAGCTTCCTGAGTCACTGGGATTATAAGCATGTACTACTGATGCCGAGCTAAATAAGATTGATTTTTATGGAAACTTTGATCTATCTGTTGTTTAATTGCTCACAAAGGAAACCTCTGAGATTGGTGAAAATTCTAGGCATGCAAAATATTTTGGACTGGAGTCGGCAATGGTAGGACTCCCTCGGGACCACCTCTAGTTTTGCTGTCTGTAGATAGCATATGTTTACGATCCTTTTGCAATGAAGAAAGCAGTCTCCCAACAGTTAAGAAGAGTGGCAACTTAGAAGATCCAGCCACCCTAAAAAAATTTTTGAATTCTCCTAAACTAATGGAGACCAGGCAAAGCGAGCCATCACGTGCCGGCCACTTCTTACCTGTTCCTTTTCTTCCCCTCCCCCCACCAGAGCTCACTCCAGAATTGTCCTGTGCAGTTTCAGCCCGAGACCAGCTCCAGGCAATTTAACAAGGCTTCACAAATACCCAGTCCTGACAGCAGGGAACATCCATAAACACAGAGTAACATCTCTGTTGGTGAGTCTGATTCCTGTGCAGGTCTCAAGAGATAGGCTGTCACAGACTGTTCCATCTTGGCCTTTGAGGCACAGTATCAAAAGGCAGAATTCTGCATGCTAGATATCTCTGCCACAGGCGTGAAAAATATCACCTGACCCAAGATTCGCAGGAAAGGGAGTAAAGAGCATTATGCGATGACTTGGAGACACAGCTCAGTGGGTGCTGAGGTTCCAGTTCATTTGTTTAGAAGGTCTAACTCCCCAAGAAGTCCACTTTTTGCAGGTCAGAGACTCTATGATAATTAACATTTGTACTCGGAACAATCAAAAGTATGTTCTTTGATCCAACTTATTCCTGTTTATTCTAATTTGTGACACTCACTCCCAGTATTACCTTTTCTCCTAAGATCTCCTAAAAGGGCCTCCCAACTCATTCGCAAAAGAAAATACCATTCAATTCAGTTATGTGCAACCATTGACTGAAATGTGTGGGATTTCCTGGCTTCTCTGTTTCCTCCCCCAATTCCTTTCCTCCCTCCAAAAGTTTTATTATTCTTCAATATCCCCGAACCAGCCTTTGTTTTTATCCTGACAGCTTTGAAATGTAGTTACTGTTGTATTCGGGAAGACAGAGGAATTCCCAAAGTGGGGTTAGCTTTATTTTCTCTAGGGAGTCACGCAAAAGTCCATTGGGATTCATTAAGTCTCATCTTTGTTATCACAGTAGGAATTGAGTTCATTAGGAAAGATAATAGATGATTTCTTCAGACAAAAACCCACCTATTCACAAATTTTTACAAAAATTCTAAAAAAACCCCCATCTATTAGCTGGTTACCACTACACACTCTTTGGTAAACTTGACTGGATGATAACATTAAACATGGAAATGCTTTTGGAATGAGAAAATATGAGAAACCAAACCTATTACAAAACACATAATCCAGTTTTAGGTTTGCCTGCTTGTTTCCCCCAAATCCTATTATATAATTTACATACTCACTCTCTTCCGATGAGGACTAATTTCTAGCTTCATCACCGCACATTTGTTTAAAGTATTTAGACGCCTATAGAGCAAAGAAATAACATTAGCAAAGAAAGGAAACCACTAATGGGTAGGTAAACATTTTTTTCTAAACAACTGACATATTTAGTGAGTTTCTCTGAACTTAATAATATCAATAATTTATGTATTAGAAACTTCCCTAAAATGTGAATGGGTGAAATAAAAGCCTTTATATTTCTTAAGCTTTTCATTTAAATTAATTTTTTATGATTTTATAGTAAATTGTAAGTTAAATTTTTATGATTTTATAGTAAATTGGCACACCACAAGGGCACTGGCAGGTACCTCTAATTCTTCCTGGAATAAGCAATTCTCAATGAGAAAATGCATTTTTTTTCAATAACTGGTAGGTTGAGTCATTAGGCAAATGCAATTAAGTTAGTTGAATGTCAAAAAATAAGAACCTGAAATGTCTCTTTTCATAGAAATAAGGACAGCAACGAGGAACCAACTAGAGCCGTCAGCAAACAAGTAAATTGTATATGACATCAAAACTTGAAGTAACACTAATTAAAAAAAAAAAAGAAAAACAGCAGAAAAATCAGTAGAATAGAGGGGGAGGGGAAGAATGGGGGAAGTACCAGGGACTGAGTTAGAGTAAATTATATTCTATGCTTTTATGTCTAAATGAATCCTAAGGTTATGTGTAACTAAAAAGAACCAATAAAAAGGGAAAACAATTTTAATTTAAAAATAAGCTTTAGTTATGTCTGACCAATAATCATCTCAGGCAACCTCTTTGTAATTTTATTTTATTTTATTTTTTTTGTATATAGAGAAAATTTTAGCCCTCTTTAATAACTTCCTGTTCAGGAGAGAATAATGTTTGGTATAGTGAAAGCAATAACACAAATTATTATTTTAAAAATTTGGATACTATAACCTGGAGGAAAGAGAGTGAGAAAGAGACATAGAAATAGATAGATTAGGGAAATAATTGAGTGTCATTAAAAATGAAATGCTTAAAACTCACAGAGAAATAACGAAATAGCTCAAAGAAGACATGCTTTCAATATGCCTGGCGAACTGGTCTGTGAAAGTATGAGAGACAGCTCTCCAGGCCCCATTCTTCCTAACATCTTCCAGATGACCATCACTGAGTGTCCTCCGTGAACCTTCAATGTGCCGGTTTGCTGCCTCGTTAAGTAACACAAATCTCCTGACTGGTTTTCCAGTTTCTCCTAAAATTGCAATTCTTATGTTTTCATGGGATATCAGCACTTAATTTGCCCAAATTCAAACTGATCATGTACCCTCCTCAGGGCTTTATCTTCTTGATCCTGTTCTTGCAACTTGTCTGACAACTTTGATGCACCAGGATAGAAAGTATCTCTGCCTGCCTGATAAGCCTGCCTTTGATTTCCTAGATTATGTGGAAGCCTGTTTATAGAATAAACAGAGATAACACAGGGTACCTATGTTCAGAATATTCTGTCGATGGGAAGGGAAAGAAAACAAATAACCAAATAACAGAGGAAAAAGTCTGCAGATTTTAAAAACAAGGAGGTGTATAAAGTCCCTCTCCAAGGGGCATCAATTACTTAAATTACTTAACCCACAGTGTTTCAGTGCTCAAATGTTTTCAAGATTTTAAGAATCCAGAATAGTTACAGTTAGTCTTAAGTCTGGGTTTCATTCATCAAACCTTCTTGACTTCATTTGAGCTTTAATGGTTGAGTGGTGTTTATAACCCAATTTACTAGGCATAGAGGCCTGTGGGGGGAGGAGGAGGGGTTTTCTTCACCAATTCCAGATTGCAGTCATACAAAAAAGACCCGGGAGGCCAGTTTTATAAAGACCGACTTCACCTTTTTATGCTGGTAGCAACCAGCTAAAGGCATTGCAACCCTGAAGCCCAGAGTTATTCTCTGGGGTTTCTGGGGTTTTCATTTATCCCCTGGGATCTCCAAAGAATGCCCACTGGTGTGACCTTATTTACTTATAGATAGATGATACTGACATAAAACAGTCGTTCTAGCTAGAAAAGATAATCTGATCTCATGGAAGTAGAGAGTAGAACAGTGGTTATCAGAAGCTGGCAGGAGGAGAGGAGAAGAGGGGAATGGAGGGAGGTTTAGTATAAGGTACAAAAACAGGAAGAGAAAGTCCTGGTGTTCTGCAGCATGGCAGGGTGACTACAGCTAACACTAATTTATGGTGTATTTGTATATTTCAAAATAGCCAGATGGAAGGACTTTGAATGTTCCCAACACAAGAAACAATAAATGCCAAAGGTGACAGATATGCTAATTACCAGGATGTGATCATTACATACTGTATAAATGTACTGCAATATCTAAAGTACCCCACAAATACGTATGATTATTATACGTCAATTAAAAATTAAAAAAAAAATCAAGCTAGCTAGATGCTCATTCCAGGTGAGGCACTATGCTCTGTATTTTGTAGCTATCATCTCATTTTTGTCTTCAGTATCCCTATGGTGTGGATATTATGATTTATCTTCATTTTATAAATGAGGACATGAGGGCTTGGAGAGGTCATGAATCTTGTCCAAGGCCACACAATTAAAACATGGTGGCTCTGGTATTCTATACAATATCTTCTGCATTCTTTTCTAAAACAAATATTAATGATGGTAATAATGGGAGCAACTTATATCCCAAGTAGGAGCCCTCAAATAAGTGGCTCAAACATCGATTATCCATAACTATCTGTCCAGAAGCCCTGGTCATCCCCACCCACCAGGTCCCTCACAGGGCTCAGCTCCACAGGAATGCATTGGTTTTATCTCCTGGACAACTTGTACCCTGCTCTGAACAGGGAGGGGGCTATCAGAGGTTCAAGAGCTTTGCTGCCCAGTGCTGCAGACACCCTGATAAAAGCAGAGCAGGCATGAATCTGGATGCAAAATAAAGACAGGGAAAAGTAGAAATAAAGAGAGAGAAAGCAAAGAACCCGTTAGGAACTGAAAAATAAAACTTGTTCCCATTCTTAAAAGATATTTTCTTGGAATTAGTACAACTGCTCTGAAAAAAATGAGTTGTTTCCATTTAAGCAGAACAGAAATAGTAACAAGGCTCAAATCAACTTTAAGGAAGTAGATGCTTAACACAATTTACGCACTTTCAGGGCTGTTTTAAAACAAAAGTGCATACTCAAGATGATAGTGTGGATATATATCTATTTTTCGTTCTACCATTTCCAGTTGGGGCTCACAATTCTTCAATGTTTTTATAGGAAGAATTAGTTTTCATTCCAAAGGAAAATAGCAATTTAGAAGGTTTTATGAAGCTATGGGCAGACAACATTACACACGAGGTATCCTGGTATTAGATCACATTTTGCAATATTATCTGTATATGCTTCAGCACAAGCTGATCACTCCTCCAAGTATTAACACTGAGTAGAAGAACTCCTTCATCACTATGGCCTTATCACTGAGGTCAGGTTATTCAGCGAAGTTAAAGCCTGGGACAAGAGCCAATCTCTTCAAGGAAACAAATAAATACCTAATAGTGATGTAAGACTGTTGGTGAGCACTCCAAACCCAAAATACCCTAGTAGTCCTACAACTGTAATTTTATATTTAGTTCTTTACCAAACTTTATAGTTGAGATAGTTTTAGCATTCTAAGACAAATAAACAAACAAAACAATCCCCCTCCCCAAACCCATTATATCTCCCAATCTTCTGCTCTGAGTAGGAAATTTTAAAAGGGAATAGCTCCTCCCAGTTTTTTGATCAAAGTAGTTAATGCCAAAGTAGTATGACCTGCTAATATTATAGGAATATGAATATTTTCAACAAAGTAGAATGCTAGTGCATTCTAAGGATTGTTTGTAATATCTGTTTCTAAAATAGGGTCCAATACAAGGAAGGAATCCTGGGGACAAGAAATCATGTAAGATTTTGTAAAGCTTTTAAACTGAATTTCTGCAACTGTAGTTCCATACATGTTTAAAATCACCTGTTCAGAATATTTCAACAGGGCAAGAGATGGATGTGTACAAAAAGTCTGTGGTTCCCCGGGAGAACTTCACAAACCACAAGGTGAAATTTTAAACTACAGTATAGCTTCATTATCTGTTGGCCCTGGAATTCCCCTTGCTGAGAAGGCATTTGGAATAGGTAGCTCCAGTGAATGAAGTAAATATCACATCATCAGTAAAACGAGTATCCCAACTATGCTATGCACAGCTCAGACCTTGAAATGCGTTATCTATGGAGGGTGCCTGAAATCCGCCCTGTATGGCTCCCATCTTTTTCTTCTGACATCAAGAGGGAACCATTTCCATATAGTCTATTTATGTAACTATGGGGACAAGGGTCTGTGGGTTTTCCATTACAAGCAAATTGATGATGTTTCTGTTTTCTGAAAAATTTCTTTTTTAAAAATAAAATACACTCCCCATACTTACTGCACTTCCTCAAATCTGGGTCTGATCATTTCATTTTTAAAGCACCTGACTTTCATTAGTGTATTTCCTTCTCTCTGCTAACCTGTGATACATTATTCTATGTTTAAGAGAAAACAGAAGCCCAACCAGAATATGAGGCAGAGTTTGAATACAGATTAAAGTCCAGTATCTTTAAGGCTTTTCTTTTTAGGAAAGATCCAGAAGAACATATTTATTCTCTCCAATAGGAGGTGGCTTTCTGAGTGGTAATCAGAGCTAGTGTAAATCTTTCAAATAAAGGAAAGTTAAATTTCAAACTGATATTCCAACAACAACAGCAAAAATATTCAAGAATTTAATCATGACTCTTTGGGCTGAAATGTTGCAGTGATATTTTTATGATCCACAAATTCCTAAACTGATGCTGCTGTTCCAAGGGCTTAAAATGTGTGAAATGGATGATATTTCCTAAGATGCATCTTAGGAGTGACCTCATTCATATGCATTATCACCAGTGATGAGTTGAAAATAAATGAATTCTGCCCCGCAGCTAAGCATGAAAGCATTTTAAAAATGTCTGGAGTAGTTTATATTCCAGACACACACTTCTCCCCTCCCAAAACAGCATTGGTGACATTTTTTCATTGCAGATGACATAGCTATGATATTACACACACCATCGCAGGGCTTGGAATCAGCTTTCTTTGAGAAAATGTCTACATACTTCCCACTAGTTATTTAATTGGACTTGAAAAGTTTGACAATGTTTCTGTGGTTAATATGGCATCTCCCTCCTTAAACCGTAAGAACTAGTCTTTTCCATACACCATTTTAAACATCCTATTTATCTTTCTCCAAAACCACTGCTAAAGTTGGCTGCTCCAAGAAACACTGTATTACATAAGAAAGAGGGAAAAAAAAATATTTTCATAGAGCTATTGCCGACAAAGGGGAAAGAAATACTGGATATCATTGTACCTAAATCATATTTTTCCAAGTTAAAATAAATACTGAAATTAAAGGAGAATTTATTTGAATCTTACAAACAAATCATCATATGTAAATTTTGTCTATGTATATAATCTCCCCCAGAATTCAGCAGTTAGGGTTTTTAGGTTTGGAGAAAAATTACAAAGGATGAATAACCTTAAGATGAATAAAAATGTCATACAGGGTTTGAAAGGATTATCAGCGTCCAGTCGTCATCTGACTCCGGTTTTATGACTTCCACTTTGCTAAAAAACCCACAAGCTGCTCCTCAGCCCAAAGAGCCATCAGCACAATGAAAGAGGATTTCTGACAGTTTTATTCACACTTCACATCAATGCTCATTTACTGCTTGTCTCCTGTATGTTGAAGGCTGTGTTGAGTTGTTTTATAGCCTATTTAATCCTATCATTACTATAACCTGGGGCAGCCAGAGGTACAAGGAGCTTTCTGGAATTCAAAAGATGGTGCTATTCCATGGCCCCCACCCAGTACTTGTTCCTCTGAATATGTTATTTCCACTCTGTGTAAGCGCAGCCTTGACTTTGCTAGGGTACCTGCTTGGGGCAGTGCAGTCGATTACCCGACCTCTTTGAGAAACCCTATTCAAGTTTCAAGACCATCAGAAACTGACCTGTTTCTTTAGATGTACCACATCCAAACACAGAATGGTATTAATGTGAGGACCTCTGAAGACAAGGTAATGCTATTTTAATGGCAATATCACCTAAGAGCATTTTACCTCATTTTAAATTAAAAGGTCTGTGATTTATAGCAAGGTAAGTCACTATACCATTTGCTAATCAAAGACCAGACGTGATCAGAACAAAAGAAAATCAAACCTGTGATAAGTGCCTTGTTCTTTAAAGAAAAGAAAACAGAAATGGTCAGAACATGCTCACTTACCTGCATAGGGCCTCAATGGCATCTCTGTCCAAAAAATCATGTTCTCTCTTGACCGAGGTAATATCAATGGGGAAAAGGAGATCTATAAGAAAAATAAATACAAACATGTTATCAAGCTCGTAGGTTCTGGATAAACTGGCTCAGTTCACCAAAGTGGGGAGAAACCTCCCAAAGCAATGTGATTAGTATCTCCTGTGTGCAGGAAGGTTCATTCTCTTCCAACTTCTCTGAGGCTCTTGGAGAATAAAGCAGTTTAAAGCAATTCAGCACGAGCATCCTAAAAGAGCTCTAAAGTGGTCTGGAAACCCAAATGTTGCTTATGTCAAAGGTAAGTGTTGAAAAACCCCGTTCCACCTTTATACAAACCAAGGCAATAAACCGTTATAATTTAAGCCAGAATGAATTGATAAGGAGTCTTTTTTTTTAATGTGATTTACTTTTTTTTTGTTTTGTTTTGTTTTTAAATGCATGTCTTTGCTCACATATAATCAGGATAAGAAAAAAAAAAATTAGGCCAAGGAAAGATCCAGAGGATAATGGCCAGTGGTAGTCACAGGGACTAGTGCATTTGTATGACATGGAGAGCTAAAGGGGATTCAAGACATGATATTTTAAAACAAATATTAATACTTCAATATGGATTCTCAGGAGTTTATACAACTCTCCCTAAAACAAAGGGCTAACTATAAAGTTACTGCAGGACAATAGAATCCCAGATCCCTTAATCTATGGAAGAGTTGAATTCTCTCAGAACAATGAAGAAGCTGTATCAGACTCAAAAGCAGAAAAGGTGGAAAAAAGTCAACTCAATGGAAGAATTTCCTTTTCTGTATTGCCTAAAAAGATCCCTTGTAGACAGAGTAGAATAGTGGTTTCCAAGAGTCTAGGAAGCTGGGGGAGTGGTAGAAAGAGAATGGGTAACAGGTGTAGGGGTGTAGTTGAATAGAAAGAATAACTTCTAATGTTCTACAGCATGCTAGAATAACCACAGGTTATTAACAATTCATAAACATAGGTTATAACAATTAATTGCATTTTTAAAAATGGATAATAGAGAGGATTTAAAATGTTCACTACACGAAGAAATGCTAAACATTTGGAGCAAGATGCCAATTACTCCGTTCTGACCACTACTCATTACATTACATGCAACTGAAATGCTAAACTGCTCCACATATGTGTGTACACACACACACACACTGTAGTAATCAATTAAAAATAAAAAAATATATATTTAAAAAATGTGTCCCAGGTTTTGAAATATAAATCCCTGCAATTAAATAGGTAAATGTATCCAGGACAAGCCGAGGAGAAAGACCCCCAGCCTGGTTGTGGAAACTTAGAACAGCCCTTAAATTGCCACTAGATAAAGGCAAGCTATGGCCCTCTTTGGAGTTCAGCTATCAAAGTAAACAATGGGCCTTCACAGAAGAACACGTACACAGCAACGAGTGTTGTGTGAAGCAACGTGAGTCAGGAATAGGTGGAAAAAAAGTCACCATAGAAGGATTATCATCATCTAAAAACCTTCTTTGGCCTTCAGAATGGCTAATGCTGCAATACTGGAAAAGACCTGACCATCAGTAGTTTAGGAGCTGCAGGTGACTTGTGAAGTTCTAATTCTTGAGTTGGCTTCTAATTTATGATCACTGATCTTAAAGAATGGTCTGGGACTCCTTATTCATAATAATCCATTTTCTAGGGATACTTGTTTAAAAACAATCACAATGAGTATTAATTTATAGTCTATTCTTTTTCCTGAAAGCAAGAGTGGGATTACTGATATTGTTTCTGAATGATAATACAGGCAGAACAGTGAAGTAGTTACAGCCCAAACTGAGGAAGAGATGGACAGTCCAAGTCCCTCCTAGACAAATGACTTTAGTGGCTCTGCTACAGCAGAAACATAATGGGAGGCTTACAGTGAATATTGGCTCTTAGTGAATAAAAGCAAGACAACTCATCCTTGTTGTTACTGTATTAAATAATAGAACTAATATTATAGGATGAATTTTTAATACTTATATATAGAATAATGTCAAATCTATAAATGTAACTTAAAATGCTCCCATGCACGTTAAGTATAGGGGAAAAAGCAACCTAAGTATAGGGAAAAAAGTGATTTGGATCACTTTTCTGATCCAAATTAACTATAATTCTGTTTTTTAAAAAAATTCAGTAGTGATTAATTAAATGTGAGCAGTAAAACAATTAAATCAACAATTTTCTCTTATTTACTCTCTTTTGAAAGATCTAGTTTCTAGAAGATAATAGTTCACTCATGCATAGAAGTGTTCTGAATTCAACTTCCAGCTTGGTTGGGTTTAAAGGCAGGAAGTGTAAATTGCCAAGTACAAAAATAAAGCTAAACAGGAAGACGAGGAATGTGGGGGTTGGTATGTGGTGTGTATGTGCTCACCCTGAACACAGTTGCAGGATGGACGGGGGAAATGATAGCCCAGAACAATGTACAGTGCACCTCAAAAGCAGGCTTACACTTCAAACGACTTGGGAGCATGAAAGGGCCCCCAAATGTCACTTATGAAAATGCCATCTGCATTTTAGGATGGTGAAAGAAGTAAGACAGAGACTTGAACTCGTTCTTAGCAAACAGACACAATCACCAGAAGGTGCCACCTGGCAGCAGATCAACACCCAAATCGACATAATTGAAGGAAATTTGATTTCTGAACAGGTGAGAAGTCAGATGCTGAAAATGCAATTATCATTCTCATCTCCAGAGCTGTGAATTGAAAATCTAATTGATTGCTGTTCCCCACCCACCTCAAAAGTCCTTTAAAGAATAAACAAATAAATTTAAAATTTAAAAAATTAAAATAAATTAATTAATTTAAAAAAGATCTTTAATAGCTCAAGAATTTTTCTAAAGGAAAGATAACTCGACTCCTATGACCATAAGACATATGGCACTGAACCAACAACTTTTGAAAATGAGAGGAAATAAAACAAAACCAGAGGTTTTCTCTGAAATGGAAAAACAATAAGAGATTTCAGGGCTGAGGATGTGGCTCAGCAGAGAGTGCTTGCCTAGTATATGTAAGGCCCTGGGTTCAATTCCCAGTACCAGGGGGAAAAAAAAAAAGATGAAAAATATTTTTTAATGTGAGCTACCAGGAGGAAGATCATGTGTTGCAAATTAGAAATGACTTTACCATTCGTGCAACTTTGAAAATTATCCATAAAATGGAATTTGCTCATTCACAGCTGTAACTATTTTAAAGCAAACTCATATGGAGTGTAATAAAACTCCTATTTAAATGAATGACTTATTCTTTTTGACATGCACAGAGTACACATAATCTATTTTGGTACTCAGAGGCTCAGAGAATGAGCCAGATTTGAGGCCCCATAGCCTCAGCATATAGTCACCTACAGGGCACTAATGAGAAGATGATATGAAAAACATTTAGTCCAGATATCGATTTTTTTTTACAAGGTTCATTTTTCTTAATTAAGAAATTGACTGTTACAAAAAAAAAATTAAAATCAAAAGACAACCTAAAGAAGAGTGGAATGATTAATTACAAATGGAGGAAAAGACAGTGGCAACTCATGACCCACAAGGATGAGAATGTAGAATTGAGAGCCCTTACACATCATTTAAAAAATCACATAGCCAAGTGTGGTGGTGCACAACTGTAATCCCAGCAGTTTGGGAGGCTGAAGCAGGCGAATCACGAGTTCAAAGCCAGCCTTAGCAATTTATCGAGGTGCTAAGCAACTCAGTGAGACCCTGTCTCTAAATAAAATACAAAATAGGGCTGGGGATGTTGCTTAGTGGTCAAGTGCCCCTGAGTTCAATCCCCAGTACTCACCCCCCAAAAATCACAATCAACTTAGGAGGATGATAGGCCTGAGACATATCAAAGAAAATCAAACACATGGCCATAAAATGAATAATTGTTTATTTTTGTTAATGCTAAGGGAAATGGAAGTGAAAATCTATTTAATATCATTTTATATCCATTTGATTGGCAAAAATTAAAGTCTGACAATATCAAGTATTGAGTGTACGTGGACAGGCAGGATCTTTATATGTGATTGATAGGAGTGAAAATTGGTATGTGCACTGAAGAAAAATTTGCATTATGCAAGTTTTTTAAATTACCAAACAACTCTCTTCCTAGAAATACCCACAAGATAAACATACACGCACTTCCAGAGAAAGTTACAAGAATGTTCAAAACAGCACATTTTGTAAAAGCAAAACAACTGAAATGCCCACCCATCAGAGTGTGGACAGGAATAAACTGCAGTGGTCTATTCACAAGATAGGGTAGCATGCCTGAACTGTGGGGACACACAATTTAGAAATTTTTTTTTTTTTTAAACAAACATTTATTTGCTTTTAAAGTCTTTAAATCACCTTTTTTTTAAGAGAGAGAGAGAGAGAGAGAGAGAGAGAGAGAGACAGAATTTTAATATTTATTTTTTAGTTTTTGGCGGATACAACATCTTTGTTTGTATGTGGTGCTGAGGATCGAACCCGGGCCACACGAATGCCAGGCGAGCGCGTTACCGCTTGAGCCACATCCCCAGCCCTAGAAAAATCTTAATGAAATATTTTAAATGAAAACATGAAATCCCACAAGATTATATACAGCATACCTATCCCTTTTATAAAGGTAAAAATCACTTTATAAAATATACTTCTGAGGAAAGAGGAGTAAAATAACAACAAAAGGAACGCAAGAAAATGGTGAACAGAGGTTTCAGATCAGGGACAGAAAAGGAGGCAGGTGAGTGTGTTATTATCATGGTCTTCGCCTTTGTGTTGAGTGGTGGGGGTCTTAGGTATTTACTACATTATTTTATTTTATTATTATTATTATTTTGGTACTGGGATTGAACTCAGGGACAGTCTACTACTGAACCAGGTACCCAGCCCTATTTTCTATTTTATTTAGAGACAGGGTCTCACTGAGTTGTTTATCACCTCGCTGTTGCTGAGGCTGGCTTTGAACTCTCGATCCTCCTGCCTCAGCCTCCCAAGCTGCTGGGATTACAGGTGTGCGTCACCATGCCTGGCTCTACATTATTATTATTTTTTTAAATGAAATGAAACATATACTAAGTAACAAATGCCTGAAAATAAGTCATAGATCAAGAACAATCATAAACCAAAGATTATAATCATGTCAATTTAAAGAAAAATGGCCTTCGGGCTTACCTTCATAAAGCTGTGCATACTGGGGGAAACCAGTTGCCCGCAGCCAATCACAGGCTTCCTTGGCTTCGATTTCTAAAACAGAAGAAAGACAAAGCTATCAGCCTCATCCACCTTTTGACTTAAACTGATTTTATTATACAAGCAAAACCTGACTTTAATAGAAAATATAGATGGGCTAGCAAACAAAAAGCCCACTCTATTCAAATGGTTTACATCTTTATGCATCTTTTCAAAGTTTTTCAGATGTATGTAATTACTCTATCTTCCCTTTAAAGAAAACACAAAAATGGGGTCCTAAAAGTAGGTTACTCTGCTCTGCTTCTGAAGTGCTCCAGTTACAGATGATCATAAAAACAGGGCGGAATGACAGAATTGAAGAGGACCCTATAACAATTTCAAGCCTGCTTGGCTTAACCTGCTTTACTTTTTTTTACTTCCACCAAAACCCACCTAGTACATGGGACACCCTAGAGTAGAACTGATCTGGGCAAGGTTACAGACTTGTGACACCCAGGGGCTGGGTGTTTTCACAGCCCCAGGTATCCTGGTGATGAGTTTTTAGGCCCACAGGTTTTAACCCAGTAAAAGAGAGGCCCAGGCTGCCCCATGACATGAAGGGCATGAAGTCCATAAATCCCAGTCTTGGCAGGCTGAAATGCCTAATAAAGCGTCTCCCTCCCTGTGGTTTACCATCTTGTAGATAGTATTGATAAACAGGAAGGCCCAGAGCATCCAACACACTGTGTTACAGCTCACTCAAACACCTATTTACAATCCCATTAAAACTGACTCACAGAGGAGGTCCTGGGCACATTAATTAGTTTCTCGGTTTGTACAAAGAATTTTCCTTTCAACTCCTCTTCCCGCCTTCCACAGGCCATTAGAGTACTTAGTTATGTGCAGCTATTCACTCTTTTATAGAGGTCGCAACATGGCTTAATTTACCCCAGATTCAAATCTTCATTAAGCATCTCTCCTCTGAGCCAGATGGGAGGGAGATGGCTAATATATTAGGAGAGGTATACACATCTTACTTTTGTCTAGTGACTTTACTGTTTCAAAGCATCTTTCACCTATTATTTCATGAGTTCTTTGGGCCTTTCAAGAAAGGTAATTAAGAACACTCAAATTCATTAAAGCAAGTAGGAATGCCCTTATTGGGCACACCAAAGAGAAAAACAAGCCCCTGATTTTCCAAGCTAGTGAATACCCCAGCTAAAAACAATTATGGCCTAGAGTGGAAAGGCATGGCAAAGTTTACCTGCATGAGTCTTTTCAGTGTAGAGATGAAAGTACCACCATTAAACACAAAATTTAGGGCCAAATTGGGGGCAGCACATGGAGTGACGTTAATGTGTAAAGACTTTAATGTTCGCACTGAATAAAAGAATCTATAGAGTTGGTTCCATGTGAATTATCTGAACCTAACTTTATTTATTTTTTTTAGTTTAGATGGACACAACACTTTATTTTTAAATTTTTATTGGTGCTGAGAATTGATCTCAGTCAGTGCCTCACATGTGCTAGGCAAGCACTCTACCACTGAGCTACAACCTCAGCCTTAACTTTATTTTTCATGTATTTACATCCATACCTGTCTCCACAGGAGGTTTTAAATAAAATTATAAATAATTTCTAGAAAACAATATTGCTGGGGAAACATAAAAACTCAATATTTATTTATTTATTTATTTATTTTTGGTGCCAGGGATTGAACTCAGTGGCACTCGAACACTGAGCCCATCCCCAGCCCTATTTTTTTAGAGAAACGGTCTCACTGAGTTCCTAAGTGCCTCACCATTGTTGAGGCTGGCTTTGAACTGGCGATCCTCCTGTTTAAGCCTCCTGAGCTGCTGGGATTATAGGCATGCACCACCATGCCCAGGTCAATATTTTATTTTAAATAATGAGAAAATAACTTTTTCCCATCTTCATATCCTCCCCCTTCCCCCAAAGACAGATAAGGAGAGAAAAAAGACTGCTTGTTTTTTTTTAAATTTAAAATAATTTGCCTCTTCTAGCTCCTTAGAGATTATTTTCTTTCTTTTTTTTATGGTAGAAGAGGAGGGTACTAGGGATTGAACTCAGGGGCACTTGACTACTGTGCTACATCCCCAGCCCTATTTTGTATTTTATTTAGAGTCAGGGTCTCACTGAGTTGCTTGGTGCCTTGCTGTTACTGAGGCTAGCTTTGAACTTAAGATTCTTCTGCTTCAGCCTCTCAAACTGCTGGGAGTACAGGCGTGCACCACCATGCCCAGTTGAATAATATATTGTTAAAAAGTAAATGTGCTCACTCTTTTAATATTTTACTTAAGTGATGAATACCATAAGCACAAATTCTCAATGTCCACATTTTTTTGACTATATTCAGACATAACATCGGGTCAGCACAGATAGAAGAGCCTTAATTATAGACACCAATTCACCAGCAGATTTCACCCCCATTTAGAGCATTTTTCTGACTTTTTTTTATTAAAATGGTCTCATACTGAGAGGCATGAATGATGTTAGATGTTTTTCTAAAAAGATTTCCATCTATTTTTTGAATACTTTACAAATTGCAATAGTATTTTCACATATAGTATTTATTTAAGGTCTCATGTGGTGTAGTAACACACAAACCTACCATCTTGTCTTGTCTCTCTTGTTTTCTACCACTAAGAAAATAAAATTCGCTCACATAACCAAAACTTGATCTAGTTTAAATAGTCACTCTAAGGATCACTTGGTGAAAAAGAAATTATGTGAAAAAAGGTTTGCTTTCTTTTCTTTTAAGCAGATAATTTAATTAAAAACATACACTTCAAAAGCAGTACTTTTAAGAACCACAGAGCTCTGGTAATTTTACCCTTCCTTTTCCTCATCCTAAAGTAAATGAGAATGTTCTTCTTTTAGAAACAAAGGGGTCAGATGTGGTAGTGGTAATCACAGCAACTGGGAAGACTGAGGCAGGAGGATCGCAAATTCAAAGCCAGCCTCAACAACTAACCGAGACTCTAAGCAATTTACAGAAAATTAAAATAAAAAATAAAAGGGACCGACATGTGGATCAGTGTTTAAAATGTTCCTAGGTTCACTCTCCAGTACCAAAAAAAAAGAGAAAGAAACAAAGGGAAACAGCCAAGCATAACTATTTTACGTTAAAAACATCCACTCCTTGAAAACTTAGGCTGCATAAAAATGAGAATTTAGGGCTGGGGATGTGGCTCAAGCAGTAGCGCGCTCGTCTGGCATGCTCGGGGCGCTGGGTTCGATCCTCAGCACCACATAAAAATAAAATAAAGATGTTGTGTCCACCGAAAACTAAAAAAAAAATAAATATTAAAATGAGAATTTAACTCACTGCTTTGGTAGAAACCAGAATTAGAAAACTCTAAAACATTCTCACAGATTTTTTTTAGAAAATGGAATATATAGAGACTTTAGTCCTAGTCTTTCTAATTAACAGAGGACAAGGGAAAGTATTAACAATCAAACACAAATAGTGATTTTAAAAACATCCACGTGTGACTTTTAATAGGAAGTGAACCCACGACTACAGGCAGGTCAGGCATGGAACGCCTTTCGAGGTTCACTCTCTGGTTCAGGTCATGACTTTGACTCTAGTCTCCCTAACTTAAAACTCTAGTCTTTCCTCTATTCAAAGAATCTACCCACCAACCCTGGCTCATCAAAATTCCTGAGCTAAAGTTTTGATCTCATCTCTCCTTCACGAATATCTTAGAAAATCACGTCTAAACACTTCTTTGTGGTTTTCAAGGCCTTCTATGTGACATTCAACCTAATTTTTCAGTTCCTGTTTTCCTGCCTCCTAGCTAAAGTAAACTGAGCATACACATCCCCTGACTTCCTTGGCCCAAACGCCCTATTGCCTGCATAAGGTCAAATTTCATTCATCCCAAGGACAAATTCTTCAACCAATGTGTAGTCTTCCCAGATATCTGGACAACTCCATCAATTTTTAAATTTAACTTTTATCGAGCACTTAATATATGCAAGGCCCATTCTGAGCACTGAATATATATTAGGTCATTTACTCTGAATACTGATCCTAAAATGTGGAGTACTGATATCATTTCCAACATAAAAAGAGGCTAATGAATCAGGCAAACAAGCAACCATCTCTCCTTAAAAAAAAAAAAAAAAGAGCTTTCTACATTTTTTTTCTCTAATGTAGGAGAGGAAATGAAAACTCAAAGAAATTCAAGTTCCTTCCAGAAAGACAAATTCTTCCCTTAAAAAAAAAATGTAGCAATGAACAAAGTTTAAAATATTAAAGAAAACCACAAACATAAGACTTCAGTCACCTTACCATCTCGCCCAGGCTTCTGGAGACTTCTGGAAGGCTCTGAGATATGACTTTTCCTTGAGTAAATGTGGTGCTGATGTGCAAACTATGAGGATGATTTTTAAAAATCATTGCCCACTGGGGATAGATGTCATTAGACACTAAAAATCCAATGGAAATACAATAAACTTTTATACCTGGCTTTTCTCTAAGTGAGCAACACACATGTGTTAAGGAGGACACAGGAAATTTTTATTGGAAACAGCTTTAGTTGTTGGTCCCTTCACAAAATAGTTCTGCATGCTATATGAGTGAGGTCCAGAAGACCCTTTCATGTATGGCTGGGAACTATTGGGCCGTATTTGCATATTTCCTGTCATGATGGGATGTCCCTATCTTTCCACTATCCCCCAACACTGAGTTAGCAGAAGATGTCCAACAGACCCTCATCACTCTGCTAAGGTCTGAGGATCTCAGTGGACTGAGCAACAGAGATGGGGTCTAAGTAGGATAAGTAGGATGGGATTACTTCTGGCTTCCCTCTGCTCTATCTTCACAATGGGAACTCAGGTTTCTCCCCTTCTTCCCCAATATGTTACCAAAACCAGGGCTCTTATAAATGCTATACTGAATTTTCTTTCCTTCCTTCCTCCCTCCCTCCCTCCCTCCCTCCCTCCCTTCCTTCCTTCCTTCCTTCCTTCCTTCCTTCCTTCCTTCCTTCCTGGCAGTACTGTGGATTGAGGCTACGGGTGCTTTACCACTAAACTACATCCCCAGACCT